GCTCACCGCGCGTTCACAGCGGCTGTTTTGAAGGGGGAATTAAAGCCCATAAAATTGCGTGTTAAAGCCGTAAAATGTCAGTACAGCCCTATTGCTCATTCAGCTTGCAACATCCAGAAGTTTGTTTGTTTGTTTGTTTTTTTCCCTCTCTCTCTCCCTCCTCCTTCTTGGTGAGGCCTTCTATAGCTCATTGAACAAGCTATATCCAGTGTCTTCTGGAGAAAACTTCTCAGTTTCTTGTGTGCTTTCCTACCCACACAGGAGCACTTGCTCACACATAACTACATAAAACCACCATATGATAAAATACCGAGATCTGTTGCAGGGCATGGATTGTTTTCCATAAAAGTATTGAATAATCTTAATAATATTTCCCATAAATATTAAATAAAATTGGAATAAATCAGAAATATTTTTATAAATAAAAATTATATGAATCCAGGCACAATGGTAAGGCTTCTTTAAGAAAAAGCAGTGTAGCTAACAGTTACAGTAATTACGTATTTTTGTTGGATATTCGCTAGCAGAAAAACTGGTGCCTGACCCGCGTGCCAGGTAGCAAAGGAAAGGAAAGGAAAGCAGCCCGTGCGGCTTAGTCTGGTAATCGTCTGAAAGTAAATTGGCCTCGCTCTAATCAACATAGCAGGAAGAGGAAAAAGTGAAATCGTCTCACTTCCCACTTGATGAACACTGGGGAGTGTTGGGTGGTTCCTGGTTACCACAAATAGTGGTAATTTCTGTTTGATACATATCTCTTGTTCCACTCATTCGGTTCCTTTTATATTAGTATTTCCTTAGTAAATAAATTTGAAAAAAGGAGGCTACTTTAGTTAATGAAGCCCCGTTTCACCTAGCTCGCCCTGCTGTGATAGTCCAGCTCCAAATCTTACCTGCGCTGCCCTTGAGAGGAGCTGCGCCATAACGTGGCTTTTAGCAGCTGGTGGCACAACGCGCACTGTCCCCTCCTTAGCTTTGACTGTTCAAACCTCAAGCTGGGGACTTGCTCAAACACCCCCCTTCTTCCCCGAGCACCGCTCTGTTTGAAAGCAGGCTGCTTTTAGCCATACTCCTGCATTCTGTTCTAGTTTTCCAGAGCTCCCTAATCTCCTTCCAGGTTCTTAATGATGTGTCCGGTAATAGGATTTTCGGTATTAATTTGGAACAATAATGCCAGCTGCTTGCTTGGTGGCTATTGGCAGAGGGGTGACCTTGCAGGCCGGCTACGCAGCACTGCGAGTGCTTTGATTTGATCTGTGCAGAGCCCGAGCGGTCCCCTCCAGCGGGAGGAGCTGGCAAATTCGCGCCCCGGGGGATGCTGATTCTTCCCCAAAGAGCACGGAGGGCAGCATGGCGGTGGCTCTCGACGCAGTCCTCGCGCGGGTCAAGGATGTCTGTAAGAGGAACGGCCTGCTCATCCTCTCGGTGCTGTCGGTCACGGTGGGCTGTCTTCTCGGATTCTTCCTGAGGACGAGGCGACTCTCACAGCAGGTACGTGTGGCGCAGCGGAGACCTGCTGTGGAGAAAATACCCTACTTACGTAATGAAAGGAACTAACAACTTGAAGAACTTCAGGGGGGACTTTCTAAGATTTAAATATATATATACATGTTTATCTGTTAAAACTTAGTAATCTACACTGATCCTTTGAGTCCTTTCACACATTGTCAGACCTTAAGTACTGCAAATTGCGGTTCCAGTCTTAAAGTTACATAGTATGTCTAGCATAACCACTTTATAATGTTGCAGGTATGGATAATAATACTGAATCATTAAACTAGGCGAAACATAACCTGTGAGAGATATGTTTAGAATATTGCCTGTTAAAAATTGGCAGTACAATATATTCCCTCAGATTTTACATTGGTTTGGAACATGTGTGTCTTGACAAAACAGTGGGAATAATTTTAACCTGCAAGTATATAGAGGTATGGGTGTTGTTATTACACCAGTGGTATTTCACATTAATCAATTTGGGATTTCCCATCAGTAGAGACCAGGTTATTAAAGTCGCCTGGGGATTTCTCCTCCACTATACTTCAGCTAATCTCTTTGCAGATAACTCATTTCTTACTGCTCTAATAGTCTAATAGACTGGACAGACATGGCAACATGCATTGCTGAATGCATTCTCTCAGCAGGAGGTATAATTCTCAATTTAAAAAATATGGCAATAAATGAACGCAACAACTAAAGCTATTCTGTGTTCTACTACCACTAACCTCATACTGATTTTTTTCTCTTTGCTACACTTTGCAAAGTGTAGCTTCATACACATCTAGCAAAACATACAAAATGCAGAATGAAGAGATTACACAGAGGAACCTCCTAACAGTAGTCCTCAAGATATGTCAAATTTCATTTTTTCCTACCTATGCAAAGGGATGAACAATGCAGTTTGTTTTTGTTGAATTACAATACACTGTAATCTATTAATTTTAAAGCCTCCATCTTTGCCACCTGGTATACCAGAGTTGCAGATTTCACAAATATTACCTGATTTTATCACTTGACCTACAGCTGTTACGGAACTTATGAAGAGAGATATTCTTTATCTTAAAACAATAAACATCTCTCCCTGTTTTTGTAGGAAATTAGTTATTTCCAGTTTCCTGGTGAATTACTGATGAGGATGCTGAAAATGCTGATTCTTCCATTGGTTGTCTCAAGGTAAGAAAGGACAACAACTGCTCCAATCACCACTGAAGTTTCCTAAATAAGGCATATCGTGACCACTATTTTAATTTGGATTGAGTTAATATCAAAATGCCAAGACTACTACTGAGAGATACACATTCTCATTTATAACAGAGCTTTGAATATTTTTAAATTAATGGCAACATTTTTCCACAGTACCTCATAGGGATAGTAGTTGTTTAAAGCTTTAATAATGTTTTCTTCTTTCATTTTGATGGGAGAAAATTTTCCTTGAAGTTAATTAAAAGTTAAAGGTATGGTATAAATAACGCAGCATATCAAAAAAGCCCCTCAACTCAAAATAATTGAAATAGTAAACCATACAAATATGATGAAATGGCACCATCATTTTATAATCTTCTGCAGTATTTGGGGATATTTGCTGCATTATGATGAACATTGAGGGGGAAAAATGTGTCCATTGAAAAAATATATGTCTGACTTCAGCTGGAGTGTAGGCACATTGAAATTCAGACTCAAATCACTTTTTAAATATGTAGTACAGGGTAGGTTATGTTCTTGAAATATTGTTTTTGTCTCTTTCCAAGAATTCATGAAATACACTTTTCAGTGACTGGTATTAGGTATATATGTTGTTTTTCTTACAGTGTCCCTATTTCACTTTAAATATCACTGTGAAATAAAAACAGCTGCAGCAAAATGGGAGAACATTTGGTTATGGTAGAAAGTAACTGGAAGTAAGAGTAGACTTTTAAAAGTAGGTGTGAATCTTTGACAGCAGTACTAGCTAGGTGGCTCAAATAAGACCTGCAACAAGGCACACTAAAATAAATTAGTAGTTTCTATTTCAGAGGAAATGGATCTTCCTCTCTGAGACTGTTGGTCTAATTTTTCAGTTGCCAGCACTGTCACAGAGCAAGATCGAGCCCTTTGTATGCTTGGAATTAAATAAGATCATATGTGTCTGTTTATACTCATGATACCAAAACACTAAAAAGAAGGACCCAGGCTTTTTGAAAAATACATGCCAGATTCAAGAATCTAATACAGAACATGAATTAGATATGGTGAGAAATAGTCTGACAGAGTTTGTAATCTGTCCTCAGAATACTTACTAGGGGAAAGTTCCAAGGTCAAATTTTAGACCTTACTGTTACCAGATATAGAGTGCTTATTATGTGTTTACACATAGGGTACTATTTTTAAACCTGGGAATGGGAATATTAAGAAAGCATAGAGAGAACAGGAGCCAAATCTGAATTCCTGTGCGTGCACAGATGCTGCCTGAGTACTCAGAGCAGTTGGAGAAGGAGACTCAACAAGACTGAAAATTTTGCTGCAGAAGAGCTACAGTTCCTTGACTTCTCAATCCTCATTTGACAGCTACTGCAATGCAAACAAATATAGTTTCTTCATTATTTTCAAAATACTTCAGCAAATAATTTAATTTTTCAAGTAAGGACACACAAACTTGGCAAGGTCAAAAGTGCATCCTATTTCAGTGCATCCTTCACTGCACCCACTGATATCTTTAAACAGTACAAGTCCAGATACTCAGATATGCAGGTCTGCATTTGCTGAGCAGCAAATTTGTTAAGTGACATCTCTTTCAGTCTAAGCAACAACTTGGTGCATGTGGGCTCAATGCTGTATTACAGCCTTTAACCAGGAGATGGCTCTGTCTAGAAGTCTAAGGAAACAAGGACGGTTACAGAAGTGTTCACAGTCATTTAAGTAAGGACTTAATTTCAGAGGCTGAGGCATTCTCTATCACTGTGTTGCCCTCCCAGGGAATAAGGAAACTTCTCATTGCATAGTTTTAGTTATAGCCTTCATGTTGTCACATGTATTTCTCACCTACAGTTTATGCTGCCAAGAAAACTGATTTTTACACCTGGGCAACCCTTCGTTTCTCAGCTTCTGAGTGCTTAAAACAATTATATCTAATGTCTTTGTCTTTGTGCTCCACACTAAGCAAAAAGCTTGGAGAGAAACAAACACTCAAAATTCCCATCAATATCATCTCACCTTTGCTAAAGATAATACAGGTACTTTGGCCAAATACTCCCTGTGCCAGCAGCGACAATACACAAAACCTGGCTTGATTGCAGGCTGTGTACGCTGGCAGTTACTGCACAGTAACTCATGTGCTTTTGGCTCCCTTCACTGTCCTGAGACCTTCCCCTCACGCTATCAGTTCATACTGAGCTAGTTCCAGTGGGCCAGAACTTTGATTTTAAGTATCATAACTGCATTGACTAAAAAAGTATTTGAGAAGACTCTTACTGAAACCTGGTTTTCTACAACTTCATATCTTGTGACTAATGTTTTGAAGAAGCAACAGTGACTGAAATATTTACCACTACTGAGGCATTTATAATGCTTCTTTTCAGCATGGATTCTCTGGAGCAGGCAGAGAGCTTACACTCTAGCATTTGCCCCAGAAAGGAAGTTTGAGTCTCCTTTTCTGTTCAAAATGCACACGTGCAAACAACTCTATATTGGAGAAGCTTGGCTTCACAGTGTGCATGCCAAAGAGCTCTCTGTGCAGGCAGAACACATCAGACTCCCTGCATTTTTGAGGATGAACTGCACAATGTGCATGCTCCAGATCTGTAAGGAGAGAGGGCTTGCAGCCAATGGGTTCTTGCATCTAGAGAAAAAGATATCTGGAAGATGTTTGGAAGCACAAAGGTGTGTGATGAAATTTGAAGAGCTGCTACCTGTATAAACTCCGTAAAAGGCTGTGGAGGTGCTCTGGTTGCAGGCAGATGTGGGCACACTTAGCCACGAGGCGAGCGTGGCAGCCACGTGCCAGCTCCGTGCCGGAAGCCACACAGCCGCATTAGTGTGGCTTTGTGCCCGAGCTCATATGCAAAGGGCTAATGTGACTGCATGGCTTCCAGGCCAGCCTTGGCAGCTCGGAGCAAAGACAGCTCGATCTCATGTCTGTCTGCAGTCATTTGTGCAGATGTGCCCTAAATAACTTCACAGCAACAGCATATTCTTTGAGAGCTTAGGGTTTGCTTAGAAAGATGCTGTGAGATAGACCATTAGTTTAGGTAAATACTAGCATTCACTGTTTTCTTGCTGTCAGCTGTGAATGAAACTGATAACTCACCACAGTCTGGAGATTATTTGTCTGTTTTACTACATGAGTTTACAATTCCCTAGGGATGAAAATTTTGAATCAGTCTGAGACTGGTACATTTGCAATTTACATCTTCTACCATGAATATAAATCAGTGCCTGGTATGGTCACGGAAGCATCTAATCAGAATGGAAATACAAATCTCTAAAAGGCAGTGCAATTTGTCTTTTTCTCATTTATGATTAATTTTAAACCTAGAGAGCAGCCACAATTCATTCACTCAATAATCCTGGTTTTACACGATTGGCAATATGTGCAGTACTAGTGCTTCTAATCCACTCTTGGTGCTGAGAGATTGCTTTCTACATTGTCCTGACAAACGCACATAATTTGAATGAAGATTGACTGGGAAAGGGTAGATAACATGAGCCTCTGCTCAATTTTGGCTTGGGTCTTTATGATGTGTAAGTTAAACTCTTCCCTCCAGTCAATATTTCTGAAATACCAGTCTCTTCTGTGATGCTTATGCAAGCTGCCAAACTGGAGCAAAATGAAGTGCAGTCATTTAAGGACTGTATTACCCAGTGAGGTGTTGAGGGGCAGCTGCAGATTGCTGCCTATAGCTCTCTGAAGATCTCAGTATTTAATGATGTCCATAAAGCAAGAGTATTTTCTTCTATAATTAAATTGCCTCTGGAAACCCAGGGCTTTTTCTTCACTGTTAGAATCTGAACTTCTGTTAGCCTTCTGATAGGGCTTCTGTTAGTCCTATCCTACAGTGTGTTAGCTATGGTCTTTACTGAGGAAAAAAATCTCTTTAGAGATGCGAATCTTTGGAAGGATGACTAGAAAGGACAAATATATTTACATACAGAGTGAAAAGCAAAACTGAACTGGAATGAAAGTGAAAGAGAAGGATTAGCCAAGGGTACAGCCAAGAATTATTCAGAGAGCATCTGACTTGACACAATTATATTATTTGATATTATCCATATCTATTATATTGCAGAACTCATATTATCCCAGAATTTTCCAAATATTGCCTGATCTTGTAGAAGAAAATGACACTCTACCTTTATTATGACCATATTATAAAAACACTTCTCAGTGCCTCAGACCTTCACAGGTTTCACTTCTTTATCCACGCTGTAATTAAATGTGTCTAAACATGTAAAGTCTAATGGTGAGGTCCCATAATGTTTCCTTTTCTATCCTTTTAGTGTCTTCTAATGTTTTCTCTTGTGTAAAATAGAGGTACCATCTGTTTTAGGGAAATGTGACATGTTGCAGAGTTACATGTCGTAATGACAAAATTGGAGGTACTCAGTACAAATTATTTAGCAAGTGTTGCTAGGGACCTAATGATGTGCAGTAGACATCTATGGCTGCAAAGTGATGAGTGTGGAAAGCACCAGAGTAATTACAAATTGGGTATGAGTAATTGGTAGACCTAATGGAAACTTTCTGTAATCTCCTAAGTGTTCTAAAATACTTATCTAAAGTGTTTTGTAAAAGAAACTGTAATGGCATATGAAGCTTGAGGGGCTGGCAGTATTTCCTCTGTTTCTGAAGGACAAAGACATCTGTAAACTATAAAGAGTTGAATGAATTTGACATTTGTTTATAATTTAGATTTGTGTTCTAAATCCTTTTGTTCTTTTCCTAATCTAAAAGCAGCTGAAAGAACTGACAAAACAAAAAGTCAAATGTTATTAAGATCCCTGGTTCTTTCCACTCTTTCTACAGATAGGAAGCTCTTAAGAGATAATTCATTTTCATTTGCACCCTGACCTTTAGGTTTAGGAAAAACTTGTTTTATTAAAACAGCTAAAGTCAACAAACAAGCTTGGATGTGCTATACAATAGTGCCTCAGATCTCCCATATCTCTCAGTGATCAAAGGCTGCTGTTCATTCTTAACA